TTGGCTTATGGGTTTGGGTTTAGATAACTTTAATTTATCAAAATATGTAATGCAAGACTGCCTAAAAATGGCCTATAGACATAAGACCATCATCTAAGTTGGCTACAAACAGACAGATCAACAAACCTGATTTTTATAGGAACCTTAAGAGGTTTCCTGAGGTTGAGGGTTATATGTGCCACATGTCTTACTTATGCAGGTGTGACCCGCTGAAACATATGCTGAAAGTAGAAGAGGTCATGTACCAAGCCTTTCTAAGTACCAAAACATGTATTTAGAGGATGACAGAAACAAATGTCAAAGATAATGAAAATGTCATCATGCACTGACCGGGTTCATTGTCTATGCCTGAAAAAGACTGTTTGATCCTACATACCATGTTGATGTGGAATTGACTACTATACTGTACATAAGCAAAATGATTTGTAAGACCTTAGTAGACATATCGAAATACAAGAAGTTCATTTGGAAAACAGAACTACCAGAAGCCCTCTCTCTAAACCTTCTAAAAAGTAATAAAGACCCATTTCCAACAAAGCTACACCCATCCATGAGGACTCTCCCAAGAAAAAAAGACAGAAAGGTGATTAAAGACAAAGGCAATGAGAAACCACAGAAACATCTTTTACCTTTGTTATCCTTCTCAGCAGTTCAAACTTCTCTGCCTGAGCCATTAGCATCTTTTCAAAGTCCTCCTGTTTCTTAAGCAGCACTTCAACATGGGTCACAGAATCCTGCAAGAAAATTATATGGGTTACATATGTCAAAACATGGGCCAAATGAATGAATGGAAAATTCTTCATATAGAGAGCCTCACCCCATAGTTTGGATCCAGAAGATACGATTCTCTAGAGTTCAGCCACCCATCAGCTTGTTCCATGTCTCTAAACAGCAACTGGATCTCCAGATTTTCATCATAGATCTCTTTCCTCCTCTTCCAGCTGTCTGAGACCAAGCCCATCATCTCTGAAAGCTCTTGAACTTTTTCTCTAATCTGAAATTTCAAACTAGTCAGTCAGTAGCCCAAAACATAAGTTCTTACAGCTTTAATGTAATCTGAAACCAAGACACTAGTTAAAGACAAGCTTCACCAAAATGAATATTCCAATTTAGCATGGTTGCAGGCAAGTGTAAAGAAATGCTTTTTTGGAGTATCTCGTGTGAAGTCCAGAAACAATATAACCCACCAGAAGTTCCATCCTACGCCTGTAGCTATCACAAAAACCAAGCTATGATGTTACACTCCTTCAGTGGATTCTTATTTAAGTAGAATAAGCAGGAAATCTATCTGTGAGTCACACCCTTAAAGCCTTAGGAAAAGGTTTAGTGAGAAACTATGGCACCATCTAAAAAATGTCATCATCTATATTCCCAAGAGCTGTAAGAAGTCATCGGGGGATTGAGCTCACCAATACCAATCCAGCTTTGGTAAGGACTCTCTTTTAAAGTGATATTGGCCACATATGTGGTTATTTGCATATTATAAGCAGCTAAATATTGCTTGAAATGATAGCATTTTCTTACACTTTAAGAAATGAGAATATATAGTAGATGCCTATCGAGACTGCACAACCAAACTTTTTTCTTGCAAAAAGATTTAAATCAAAAGGGAGGTGGCATAAAACATATGTATGAGCCATTAGAAGCTTACCTCCACTGCCATAAAGTGATCCTTGTCCAAGAAAGCCTTTCCTGTTCTTTGTAGCTCTTCATATTTGACCCTGTGCTTGTCAATCTCCCTCTTATACTCTTCATGCCGTTTAATTAGTAGCTCAGCACCCGCCACATCATTTGCCAGTTCCTCTGATATCACCATAGCGTGCATCTCTCTTGCCCAGACTCTGATGTCAGGAAAAAAAAAAGAGCACATGACCATGGAAGAACAACCATTTTCAGAGGCATAGCTGAGTGGAATGAATGACAAAATAGTATATATGGTATTACATAGTAATAGTATAATATAGTGCAGATAATCTCTTCTGTCCTCTGTGGGCTGAAAAGATACTTACCTCAGCTTTCTGATTCTCTAGCCGAGTGTGGGTAAAAAGAATCAGTACTGGTCAGAGGACAATGTTTAGCTGCAATGGGTAGGGGTAGAGCTTACACACTGTACTGGAAAAGAAGCTCAAGTAGTATAAAGCAGTGGAATACTGATGTCCTTTGGGCTAACATAGATACAATAAGCGTAACGTATAGTGGTTTTATATATATGTATATATATATTTCTTTATTTATACTGTATGTATTTTCTTTCTTTATTATGGTCAGAACAAACCATAATAATGTAAAACATTTTAATAATGTAAATATGAAATATTGCATGACTATTATGTACCACTTAAACCATTGGGTCCTTTTCATATGTTTTCCTGTATATCCTTCACTCTCTATGTTAAAGTTGTTTTATTGGAAGAATCCAAGTGCTCAATGGTTAGAAGAGTGAGTCCTCCCCATTGGATTTCTTTGGTGTGTTCATGAGAGACAGTGTGCCTGAAAGGGAACTACTTGTGCCGTCTCCTTAGCGAACCTATTGTGCTCATGTAATAAATATTTATTTGTAAAACAAAGATTGTGAATGTATGTATAGAGTTAAAAAAACACAAACATAAAACATTAATTTTAAACACAATAAGTTATTTCCCATAAAACTGACGCAACACCATTAAAGCTTCTCTTTAAGCCCTGTCCAATCCAGGCATATTGTCATGCATTTTCAAACACAGCAAAATGCACTGACCTAGGAAATCAATTGTTTTCAATGCAGCTTGTGCAAGAAAAAAAAAAAGTTTCAGCTTGAGCTACACATTAAAGGGGTCTTTTTCCAGAAATACCATTGTGGCCGCCATTGCTCTCCTCTCATTCCGCTGTTTTTTCTTTTGTGTGTTCAGAATACATTTTGGAAACAAACTGCACATTGTCTTTTGGTATACAGAGGGTATAAAGATATACAGATTCTGCCTCACCCCACAAAACACTTACATCAGATCCCCGCAGTCACTGAAATACCGCTGTACTTGCACTGCTTGGTTTAGTCTCTCTCTCCTTTGCTGGGATTTTTGCACCAGATTCCCCCAGGACTTTGTCACTTCTCCCAGTCTCTCTGAAGCTTTCTTCTGAACTGGTGGGTAAATCTGGCTGACGTGCTGGCCAAGCTTGGTAACTTGCTCCATTTCCTTTTTAATGGCTTGCAGATCCCTCTGCAATATACAACACAGGCAAGATGTATGTAAAATATCCCATAACATGTTATCTGGTGAGTAATGAAGTCACAACACGTAATGCCTATTCATATAGCACATCATTTGAGTTTAGTAATCTTGCATACACCTTGGCAAGAAAAAAAAAATACTTCTCTGGGGTTGGAAAGAAAATGTGACCCATACCCCCACATTAATGGGACCCCTCAGGTCTGACCCAGAGCTGATTTCAGATCTCAATTGTTATAACTTACAATTCAAAGGGAGTTGCCACCCACTTCAGACTATCCAATTGGATCCAAGGAGCTGGCTGCGGCATATTACCTCATTATCTCTTCAAAACCTCATAACTGTTTCCAGATGTGAGTTATTGAACCGTAAATGAGCGCAATGGTTTCAGCTGTCGTTCTGCTGGCATAGAGTTCAAACTCCGTTACTCTACGCATACAGGTACCAGCAGCACCATAAACAGACCTTAATATTAATAACTCTGCAATTTTTTAATATTAAAACTAGTATGTGTGGAGTCAAACAGCTTGTCATTGCACCACCATGCCTTTAAAGAAGGTTTTATGACTGTGCGCTGCATACTTTTTGAAGATTGAGATACACACATTTGGTCTCAAAAGGTTAAAGATGGGTGTACACGGTTAGAATTTTGTTTGAAAATTCAATGTACTAATAATTAATGGGGGCCAATCAATTTTGACCATAGTGCCAAAAAAAAGGACTAGGATAGAATTTTTTTCTTGAATGAAGTTTCAACAGTGAATGTGGTTTTCGTTAGGGAAACTCCATTTATTCCAATGTAAAATTCAAATTAGATTTTAAAGGACAATCAAGTCTCTGATAAAATGATCGAATGTTAATTTTTTGTACGAACATCGGAAGTTCTAACCACATATACCGAGCTTAAGTGAGGCTTTCACACTAGTCTGCTTATTTTTGTGATGGAAACTTATCGGCAAGAATGTGCATGGAGACCAGATTAAAGGGAATTGACACCCTCTTCAGACTATCCTACTGGGAGTTGGCTGCAGCATATTACCTCATTGTCAAAGGTAGTTTTTTTTGTAATATCAGTCACATAAGACACTGTCAATATTCTCACTGCAGTGCACATATAAAATTAGAGTTAGGTTTTAAGTAAGATCCAAACCCACAAAAAGATGACTGAACTCTCTTCAATGCTGAAGAAGCGTTTTTTGTAGCATAAGAGTTCAAATGTTCGTGTGTTTTGGGTGGTGAGTTACAATAAATACGGTTTATACACCAGCACCTACATATTGGGGTCATCTTTTACGTTTGCTGAAAGTCACAAGCTGTTGAAGAAAACAATGTATGTATCCATCAACAGAACAGAACACCAGCACTGTCTATGTATGAATGGTGCTATAGTCATGCGTGAGGTGATAGAGATACTGGACCTAATATATGAAAGTCCTCAGTCTAGTCAAACAGTTCTGGAAGACTGATATAAAGTGTCAGAAAACTGTCTGGAAATTCATGACTCTGCATTTCTGAAGTGCCCTTTGATAAGATATTTTGAAACCAACTTCTTTTTCTTGATATGTTGCAGTGGGTACAGAATGGACCCAATGTTGTATACATAACGGCAGGTGTAGGAGCTGATGTTCCTTCTAACAAAAGGCAGGAAGTTCATACACTTGCCTTTTAGTATTTCACACACTCACTCACCTCAATCCCCTCATGCTGACTGAGGAGGGTCTGCACTCCAGGCAAGTCATAGCCATAATCATCTGTATTCACAGCGACTTCCTTCTCCTGCATCCAGCATATCAATTCATTAACATCGTGATCAAACTGATGGACCTGGTGAGCTTTTGTCAAAGTCTAAATAAAAAGGACAAATGTAATTGTACATTGCAAACTTGTCTAGATCAGTTTCAGACATACTCTATGGCTAAAAGCAGTGGCGGACCTAATAACCAAAAGGCGCTGGTGCAAGATTTTATCTTGGGCCCCCCTCCCAAGGGGGGGGGGGTGCGGGAGCGGATCACACTGGCCCAAGCCCCCCAGCGGTCTTTAATGTTGCAGTAGTGTGTTGGACTTACCTGAGTGGACTGTGTGACCGCCAATAGGTGAAGCATTCCAGCGCTGTTCCAGCGCAAATCGCATGTGCAGGAGAACCGATCTCTCCGACTGTGATCTCGCATTCCACCGCGCTCACAAAGTCGGATAGAAGTGATATTTCAGGACCGATCAGCTGTTTCAGGGCAGATCGGTTCTCCTGCACATGCGATTTGCGATGCCGACCTGCCCTGGAACAGCGGAGAAAGCGTTGGAATTCTTCACCTATTCCACCGCCGAAAAACTGGGCGAGATTACGTTAAAATGTGTGACCACGTCACTGGTCACACATTCTAACGTAGTCTCAAACTTTGATAGAACAGAGGCCTGTCTGTAATCATTTAATCAGACAAATAGATGATAATAGGGAACATTACAGTGTAATATTCCCCATTATAATCCACTTGTCTAATTACATGAAAAAGCAAAAGCAGTACACAACCCATGTACCCCCACCCCCCTGGCGCTCGGACTTACCCAGCCAGAGGAGTTTCGATGTGTGCACTGCAGGGGGTGGGGCTTGTGACACACGCACGCCTCCTGTGACTCCCCTCCCGCCGCCTGTTACTATGGACACGCCGGGACCGTGCACTGCCCCATATTGCAAGACTGGACCCCACAGAGGCTGTGGGGGTGCCCAGGACCGGACCCCACTGCCCCCCCCCCCCCCACCCCCCCCCGGGGGGTACAGACTAGCGTCCTCCCGTCACCCTCCCGGGCCGGACCCCCCCGCCCCCCCCCCCCCACAGCCTCAGGCGGTAGTTCCGCCACTGGCTAAATGTTTGTTGGACATCTGACCAATAAAACTATATAAGCTTATTGGACATCACATTCCAAAACCATAGTTATTAATATGGAATATCTACGTGCCTTTGAGGCTATAACAACTCCCACTCTTCTAGGGGCCTGTGTCTGCAGGCATTTGTGCTCATTCAATGAAAAAAAAATATGAAAGGCCAGGTAATGATGTTGGGTAAGAAGACCTGGCCTGCCATTGGCATTTAAATTCATCCCAAAGGTGCGCAATAGGGTAGAGGTCATTGCTCTGTGCAGGCCAACCAAATGTCTTCACACCAAACTCACCATGCCATGTATGGTACAGGATGGAAACCATACTATGTCAAAGACACGTACAGGGCCATCCTTATAATAAGGCAGCCTAGGCGGTTGCCTCAGGCGGCATCTCGTTGGGGAGCAGCCAGGTGATGGTGGGGGCGGCAGGGGGTGGCCACAGTGTTCCAGGTTGATAACAGTTCTTAGCAACTTGTGACGCTCTGTGCGGTGTGGCTTCCGGCCCAGCTCACTGACGTCACAAGTTGCCAGGAGCTGAGCAGGGACACTCTGATTTGCATATGCCTAGCTCCTGGCAACCAGCGATGCCAGTGAGTTGGGCGGGACATCGACAGAGCTGCTGACAGTGCAGTCCGGCATGGACAACACTTTCCCCCCTCTCCAGAACGGATTTACCTTGGGACAGCCCTGGACACATACCTTAGCTCTGTTCTGTATTGCACGGCACAATACATCCCAGGTGCCGTTCACATCCTCTGCCTTCTTCTTGATCTGTTCTGTCTGACTGTGGTTTTCTTTCAGCAGTCCTGATGTCAATTCATGCAGGGACAGAACTTTACTCTTACCCAGCGTCTCTACTTCCTTAACAAAGTTTTCAAACTCTTTTTCCAAGACCTGGAGGAAAGAAATCAGATTGGTTTAGCAACCCGCTAGGCAATTGAATGACAGACAACAGTGGCACAGGCTGTGAGCCATGAATGGCTTGTGATAGTGGTGCTCTCTTTCCAAGTCTGGGTGTTGCTGTACAGGGGATTACAGAAAGTAGAGATCAAAACAAATTCAGGTACTTACACAAGTTGTATTTAATCTATTTATAGTTTTTGCTCAGTCAATACATTTAGGCTAGGATCATACCTCAGCAAAACCCGGGACGCGGGGGCCGCGCGATTGTGTGCTAGTGCACACAGCGGTTGCCGTGCGGCCCCATTGATTTCAATGGGGTTACATCCGCGCAGCAATGGCTAAATAAAGGTACAAGTACCTTTTTTTGCGGCACACAACGCGCAAGCTCAATTGCACAAGCGGCATCACGGTGGGAAACTGCGCGATCCGCCCGGCGTGACTGTGGTGCCATTAGAAAATAATGGCACCTCCAGCGTGATCGGCTGTGGTGGGCGACTCCGTGACTGCACGGTTTTGTACACGATTGCTGCGCGGTCAGGAGTTGCCCAGGTGTGAACCTAGCCTAAAAGTTTTAGATAACAGTAAGGATTAGAATCGTTTTGGGGTGTTTACTGCTATTCAGTGTTTCAGATTTATTCTCTGTCTCTGTCCTGGTGACAATAATTTCTATAGACCGGAAGTAAGAGGAAATCTCCAACAGCAGCACAGACAGATTTAAAAGCAATTTAGGAGTAGAAGGCTGGAACCCTAGTCAGTTTTTTTTTATTGAAGTCTGTGTTGCTGTTGCAGACTTTCCCTCACTTACTGTCTGGTAAAACGGTTGTCACCGGGACATAAATGGAGAGAAAACGTTTCTAATGCAGCCCCAGATAGCAGTAAAAACAGAAAGGGGGTTCTAACCCTCCTTTACTCTATCCAAAATTAAAAAGTTTTGTCTAGTCATGTACTCTAAAGCTGAACTCCGGTCTTACCTTCAGTCTTGCACAGTTGTACTGACTCCTCTCCTATACTGAAATTGCTTACTCTGATTTTGCTGCACACTGGGAGCTTCTCATTATGTACATTAGAAGCTGCAGCAATCAGATGGAGCCTTTACTTCCTGGATGATGGACATCCAGCATCATCTAGCTATTTCCGCTCAAGCCTTGCTGTCCCTGGGCCACCCCTTTCATTAAATGGATTATTTCCATTAAATCAGAATCACATGTGGGTGTCTGCAAACACTCACTCCTCTAGACTGACATCCATAAGACAGTATGATATTTGCAGACCTCCTCCCAAGATTCAACCCACTGCTTGCACCAGGGCTGAGGGCTCTTAAAAGGAATACTGAGGTAGGGTGCTGTAATGTTTTAAGGAAGTTATGTAGAACCAGGGAAGGTAAAATATTAGCAGAATAAACTTCAGCTTTAATCATTTTCAATGTGTACATATGTGTATTGATTGTGTATTTTTTCATATCTGCCAGGAGTTCAGTTTTAAGAATATCATGCATATTGCTTTGGACAAGATGATTACCCTAATGCCTTCTAGATCTTGACCAAACTCTTCAGATTCAGCAATGGTCTTCTTGCTGACCAGCCAGGCCTCTACCAGACCTGCTTCCTGCAAATACTGGAAAAGCTGATATTGTTCCTGCAGCTGACCCCTGCGCTGCTCCGCTTTCTCCAGCAGGGAGTGATATTCCTCTAGGACGGACTGCAGCTTTGAGATCACTGTGGAGCTACAGGAGACAATGGCATTAGTATCCTTTCACTTCTCGATTTTTTGAAAGAAAAAGCCATGTATTAGAATTATACTCTAATATAATATAATTTGTAGAATGCAATGACTTTATAATCTAACATTTCCTAATATTATTTTACAGAATAGACAAATACTAAAATATATTTATGTGTTTTCAGTGTAATACAAATCTTTGGTAAAATTGCTGACCACATGTCCTCCATCAACCAGGCCAGGCTTCTCTGTACCACTAAATGGCTCATTTGTGTATCTTGTAGTTGTATACAGTATACATATTAGGGGTGTTCAGATACCAAGGCAGCTATCATTTGTAAGAAGTAAAGGAGTATCTGGGGCTCCTGTGATTTGTGCATCCCTGTTTTAATGTATGATGTGTTTATATGGGATGCACCGATACCATTTTTTCCAAACCAAGTACAAGTACTGATACTTGTCCAAGTACTCACAGATACAAGTACTGATACATTTCTGCTTATTGTCATGTGACAATTTTTCAAAACAATACAGACTAAAGATTTCAGGACAGTGGTGGAGCGCCGGGGCCCGGTCGCAGCTGCAGCTGCTGTGAACCTGGTAGTTCTCATGAAAATTTCAAGTGTGGGCACTGGTATCTGAACTGGTATCTGAACATCCCTAATACATATTACATCAAATTATGAATCGATTGTATAAAAAAAAAAACACAAGGATATGCATTCATCAATATCAAAAGGTTTTCATTAAAAAAGAACCCATCAATATACCTTTTTTAAATATTTTGTTAGCAGTTACATGTCTACCTTTTTAATTTATTTTTCTTCATTGTCTAGAATGGATCATCACTTATGGTGACCCCTCCAACTCCTATTATTTGAATAGGATTTCCTTCACAGCAGGAATGTGCTTGTTGTATCAGAAGGTAGTAGAGGGGAGTTGTCACCCTAAAAGTGGTAAGTGCCATTGATAAGTACCATGAACCAGTGGTTCTGGGTGTACAGCTGGCCAAGAGGTCAAAAGGAATGATTTGCATGGCTCTGCTTACTATCATACAATGGGGAATAATCCCTTTATTTGGCAATTTGTAAGACTGTTCTATTTTAAGAAAGCTCTACTGTTCAGAGGTGCTAGATAATTATATACAGGAGATAATTATTCTTACCTTTCTGGGCTGTCGCTGTCAATTTGCAAGGTTTTGCCCGTGTCTCTTAATTTTTCAATTCTAAGAGAGAAACCTTCCAGGTCACGGATGGTGGTGTCCAACTTGCGAAGCAGTGTTTGTGTGGATTCCTGGTTCTTACCACTATCAGGTGATTTAATGACAAAGCCTCGCTCTGCCATCCACACTTCAGCCTCCAAAAGCTGAGAACAAGTGGACATAAATTTATCAGACCAGTAGCAAATACAAACCACAAATAATATTCATCATAGTGTCTAAATCCAACATCCCAGAGAATTAACTGTGTAATGTACTAGGTGACAAGCTATCCCCCACCACCATACTGGGAAAATAACAATAGTAATGTTACCTCTGTGAGAAATTGCTGGGCTTCGCAGGCCCGTGTCAGCCTTATTCTCCTACGTTCAGCTTCGGCTTTTAATGTTTCTACAGCCACTTCCAGCTGATGCAGCCGCTCGTCAATGTCTTTGCTAGCGAAATGGTTGCCTCTTACCAGCTTGCGCCCAGTGCCCATCACAGCTTTGGTCAAAGCCTCACGGCTGCTGATCTCATTTTCCAAATTCTGGAAACCAGAAGAGAGAAAGGATTTAGAAATGAATACACACTTCACCTTTGTAATCTTGCAACACTTAAATAATGGTTAATAACTATTACAATTATTTTCAGTGCCTACATACTCAGAAATGATCATAGCCAGTACATTGATAATTTTTCCTCTCCTACAAGCATCTTTCCTCTGTTAGACTGACAACACTGTGCAAAGCAATAGAACCCTGTTGGCTCAGAATAATGGAAATCCCTCTCCCAGATTAGGCGCTATTGTGCACATTTATGGTCAAAATAACAGCCAATTATTGCTCTGTAAATACAACAATTATTATAGCAGCTGGTGTCAAAATGGGCCTAATGTTTTTTAGTGTACATTTAAAAAGTGCAAAATTGAAAAAGAGGTCTGTATTTTTCCTTCGTGTTTTGTCACTTGAAATAAGTTTTTTACAATCTATTTTCTATTTCTGTGATAAAATAATAATTAAAATGATAATGAGAGGGCTGTTTTTCGCTGGTCCAAGATGGTTGGAAGGAACTTTTGTAATCCTCAGGAGCCGTTTAAAACAAACTCCACCCTTAAACCCACTAAAAAACGACCTTGATTCCGCCTTCCCCATTAATTCCAAAATAGCAAAAATCTTCCAATTTTTGCCACAATTCCAGAGAAATTTTGCTTATCCCTGGTCACATTTTCCAAATACCAAACGTTGCAGTTTTCCCAGACCTGGTGCTTCTCCACTAAGGCTTGTGTAGTAGTCAGTGATTGTCCACACTCCTTGGAGGAGGCGAGAGGCATCTTTTCTTGTATCCATGATAGCTCATCATCGATGTCCCGGAAAAATTGATCAAGTAGATTCTTGCTTTCCAGAGCTGCTCTGCATTCCTGTAGAGGATCATTAAGGCTCTTGTACCTATCATAGGAAAACATGTCACACTAAAGTATTACAACTGAAGGATAATTTATTCCAAGTGCTGCCCATTAAAATCGTCTTTCCACAAACATATCATGCAAATCCCCTCTCGTAGTAACATGCAGAGGCCCTAACCTCAAACAACTATCTACTAAATAGCAGAACCCTTGACCATTTATTTTTTCTTATTTTAAATTAGAATTTATGTACTGAATACTATCATACAGGTAAAAACAACGTACGTTTACCAGAGTACAATATGTTTTGCTATAATTGTCCTTTCAGTCTATTTGCTGCCTTGCCTAGGGCAGCAGCAAAGGTAAATACACCGCTGCTACCACACGCAGGGAGGTACCACTTTCTGATTAGGCCAATAACATAAAACTCATGCAGATCAATAATGATAACCTTGCTTAACCATTTTTGCCTCTCAATCCGATAGAAGAGTGCAGACTGCACAACACGTACAGAGCTGTGAACTGGAAATCAGGTGAACACGGAGTTGTTCAGGGAGCTGATCAGTTAGTTATGATCATTCCCATGTGTATGACCCCACATGTATCACCCATCCCCATGTGTATAACTAGTTTTAACAATCTGTTTCTTTTCAGTGAAAATTTCAGAAAATGATTTACCCAGGAAATAACTGAAGCGCTCCCCCCGAAGGAGCCACCAGAATAACCCGGGTCATCACTAGTTGTCTAGGGGATTTGGTTTTCAGCTGCCCCATTAGCATTTAACCGCCCTCGTCTAGTGTCCACAAAGCTGATATCCACTCCAGTAGTGCAATGCTGAATAACTAATATTAACATCTTCATACTGGGGAGAGAGGATATAGGGCTCCTAGACATCCAGGGTGTGACAGACATAGACTCCAGACTCACCAGACCTTTAGCATCGTAGATCCATTTGCAGCTCATTGAATAAGAACTTGAGTAACTGATGAGCAGGGGATGAGTACAGATCCTCAGCAGGAGAGACACCAGACTCTCCTGAGGTCCTCCAGACACCTCCAGTAGCCATCATCTTCCCTGCTTCTCCTCTCTGACAACAGCACAGGCCTCCTCCAATACTTGAGGCCTAGAGAAAATCTTCCCACACTCCAACCTCTGCCCACCGTCAGGCCTCAGGCCTAGCCTGGGGGGCAGGTAGGACAGCACCCAGCCTGTACTAATCCATGGCTGGCACAAGACCGAGCACATGACAATTCCCTCCAGTATATGTACCCTATCCCGACATGCACCACTGGTTGAGAGAAACCTAGTGGTTGGCTGCTGTACTGTACATACACTCACAGTACCTTTCATTGGCTGTCCCACAATACAGCAGAGTCACACTCCACCCAGGGGGGGGTACAGTCAATGCCAGACACCTGGAATAAACCAGATAAATGCCACTATAAACCAGCCAGGCTGACTATAGCCCTGGCAATCACTAAATTTCTAGTAGCCACCTCACAAAAGGTGATGGGGGCTACATAACTATAAAAAAAGATAAAAATGATAGAATAGGAAGATGATGGAGAGAATTTGGAAATTAAATATATGTAGACAGACAGACCACAAACATGTATTACAGATTGCTAACCTGTGAACTAGAATTCTGACTCTGTCTTCCAATTCATCTGCCAGGAAGTGTCCTTCTTGTCGGAATTCACGAGTCTTATTTGCCAGGACTTGCAGTCTCTCCCCATGGCTTGCGATGCTCTCTTCAAGCTCGCCAAGTTTCTCAAGTGTTATTAGATCTTTAGTTTTATTAGCAGAATCCAGCTTGGCTTCCACTTGGTCCAACCACTTCTCCAAGTCATCAATGCTCCTCTGAAACTGCTGTGCCTGGAGCAGAAACATTGCCAGAGATTATGTCACCATCAAATGGCATTTTGCTAAAATTGTAAAAAAGGCAAGTTATGCAGTCAGTCTTTATAAGCGACCAATCACCTTATAAGCATCCTGGAGCTTGTTTCCTTTTTCATCACATTTTTCCTGAAGTTCAACCCAAAGCTCTTCCATTTCATTGAGTCTTGTCTGAATGACTTCAGATGCATAATGATTAGCTTGCAGCATCTTCTCTCCATCCTGCAAAATATGGGCTCAATCAAAAGCAGCTAGAATCCAATGGAATACTAGTATAGTGAGAAAAGGAGTTCTGTCCAAGACAGCCAATAAGAATATGGCTTTCGTACTACTGTACTTTCATGCATGTATTTATTATATGATCATTTTGATAAAAGAAGCCCAACTCTCCGGTGACTTATAATCACAAAAATACCAAATGTAGAAGTGCAAATGATGCTAACTCCAGCCATATGGGGTTGTGTCACTGTCCTGCCCACTACTTGCTCTCGGCAGGAATCACAAAACTGGTGACACCCCCCCCCAATTTCCTTTCATGTGAGCCAAACTTAATACCAGTTTGCAGGACAGGTTCCCCTGTAAACCTTCTTTCCAATAACTAAACCTTGCTGGAACATGTTTTTTTTTGGGGAAGGGGTAAAATATATAGTGTGTGTATGCGCGCGCAAATTACAACAAATTTACACACACGCGCACACACACACTATTAACTCAATCTTGTCTTTGTATTCTGCTAGATGTAAACAACATGACATCGAATATGCAAACAAATGATTATGACTTACAAGAAAAATAAGAGTAAGTTTAAATGATCTTATTATTGACTAAACTTATTAAACTTATTAAACTTATTGTTATAATTATCTATGTACGATCATCTTACAGCTTTTATGGCATCCAGCCGGTTGCGATTCGCTTTGATCTCCGCCTCAAATGTCTGATGCTTCTGTAACTTGGTCTGCAAGTTGCTGGGGTCCTTCCAGCTGTCATCCATGGCAATACTGTTTTTTTCCAGCATCCAAGCTCCCACCTGTGTGTAATATCGTTGAGAACAGTGAAGGTTAACATTTCCCCTTACAGGACCCCAAAATAGCACACAAGATTTTCAGGACCTCTAACACTAAGACCCATGTATATATACATGTACACTTTCATAAATCTACACAGTCATCCTCAGGCATGTGCACAGTAACACAAAGGCATATACACACACAAATTGTAATCATGCACATACATGCTAAAACCACATAGCAATATAGCTGCTATCTTTTTTTCTGAAGCATGATATGTTACAATGGTATCTGTCTTTCAACAGAACCCACATCTCTCTTTTGATTAAGACTACAAACAACTACCCCTCTCTTGATCTCCATTATATGAAGGAGTGTTGTTTTGAAGTTCACAAATTATAAACTTCAAATCATTACACCTCCAGATAATGGAGATATAGAGAGGGGTAGGGATTTGTAGTCTAAATCAGGAGAGCAACATAGGTTGACAAAGATGCTCCTCCATAGATACAGTGCAGTGAGTATGCATATCACTCAAGGACAGGAAGTGTGTTATTGGCAGGATTATCAGGGGAAAAAGTCTAAATAAAAAAAAAAAACAATGCAGCCACCACATCCAAGGAATGGTATGCTTCAATATGTTACATTTGTGGTTTTTGGTGTAGATACGTTTCAAGTTACAGTACTGCTACGATCTTGCAACCCCCTATATTAGTGTTTGCCACAAAGGCAAACACTAATATAGTTGTATTGACCAGTAGCATAGTGGTAACTTTATTACGTAGAGGTGTGCTACATAGTAAAAAAAAGTCATATCTTTCAGCAAATTCTTTAGATTTATAAGACAGTTAAACAGCATTATACAAATATGTGTATGTTTGGTAAGCTAGTGGGATGTGTGCCTGTGTATTTATGGGTTTGTACAAATCTGAGCCGGAGTGTATATTGTTAAATGTTATTCTCGTGTTCTATAAAAACCTCATAGGAGTTTCGTAGGAATGTCTGAAGTTCTCTGGATTCTTCAAGCTTCTTCTTACGGGCCTCTGACATATTCAAAAGCTTCTTCTTCCTGGTGGAATACATAATGAACCACATTACTAGTAGCTGAGACAGTCATGATTTAGAGAACTGAAATAGCTGAAGTAATTAGATGTTGAAAACCATTAATAGCAAAATATTCCACCATTTGTCATTCAAGTTTTAGGGACATTAAAAAAAATGCTAAAGCAAAAAAAAAAAAAAAAAAAATGCAGAATGGGACCAGGCAAGAATGTCCTTCATCCCACTCTTCTCTTCATGATCTCCTTGGAATCTTTTCTGGGCCTGGTCCAAGCCTCTCTGGACATCCAAGGCATTCGGCCAGCACGTCAGCAATTCCTGCTTTCGCTGATCACCTACTCTTTTCTCTTACGCAATCTATCCCAAATGTTTTGAAGGCATTTGAAGACTTTCCACTACTTTCTAATTTTAAAAGAAATTACACCAAGTCGTCTGTACTAAATATATCGCTTCCCCCAGAGACATTAGGTCTCTGTATACACAATTTTCCCTTCATGTGGCAATCTTCCACCATCAAATACCTGGGGATTTACCTCCCTTCTAACTTGAGTGGTCTTTATGGGAGTCATTTTTAGATAGGATCTTTTGAATTGAGATAAATCCCACTTTTCCTGGTTTGGCAGAACGGCCATAATCAAAAGACACCTTTTGTTACACAAGTCTATGGGACCAAAAAGCACTGAAATCTGCCAAAAAGTAGTCCATGTACTTTTTCCAGGAACAGGAGCTTTTCTGCTTGCATGGCGTGAACGGGGGCCATAGAAATTAAGTGGGATTTCTTGTCTTAAGAGTTTTTTCACGCTCTAGACAAGAAAATGGGATTCCTCATCTTGAGTGTTCTGTAGCGCTTACCTTTGAGCGACAAAATGCCTAGGAGTAAATGGGGACTAAGGTTTTAGTTAGATGCTACATAACTGTTAAAAGCTCACATTAGGGTTCTACATGTAGAGAATTGTTATATGTAAGGGGATGCTTTAGTGAAGGGGATAAAAGCTGCCCAGCTATGTTATTCATGCTGTTTATCAAAGCCTGGAACCACATGACAAATGTTTAGTATCAGAGGATCATCTAAGAAAAATCTGTCAACATGTGAACATTATTGCTGTGACAGTGAACATTACTGGTGACAACAGTGGTCATCACAAGTATCCACTTGCACAATAATGATGTGTAGAAGCTCCTGGTATACAACATTGACATTATCCTCACAGAAAGAGTTATGGCAACCACCATCACAGAAGACTGCAAGAGTACAGGTTTCCTGATTATATTGTTGCCAAAAAGGTTACAATTCACCAATTTTATACCAATGTAAACCTCATAAAAAAAAGACTAGGTTAGCAAGAATTACATTTGCAGCTCTTACCTCTCCAGCACTGCCTGGCATTTGCTACCAATATTCTCTGAGTCGTAATGCTGGTTGTCTTGCAGTTGTTTAGCAAAAGACTCCATTTCATTGATCCTGTCCATCTGAGCATCAAGAGCCTTTTGAAACTTTTCATGTTGGTGCTGAAGACTTTCCACACTAGCCACGGAGTCCTAGAATACAACAACAGACACTGCAGTATATCCAATTTGAGAACTATGGATGGCCTGATATTTATTAAGCATCTTCTCTATATAGTTTAATACATTAGTATTTTTTTTTCTTTATTACATTAGTAGAGAGAATGCAAATTTTACATTTTCAGATATGAACCATGAGTAGACTGGACTGCAGCTGCATTATATGAGATTCAAAGGAACTCAACTGTAGTTTGGAAAGTACAATTACTTCCAAGTCCTTAAACTGCTTTTGGAAAGTACCCGTCAGAGGCATTCCAAAACTGTGGCATATGACTCAGTCTACATGAGTGTCATATGTTTCCCTGTATGGACCCAACACTCTTTCAAGGTGTATTCAAGGAGCCAACACAAAGGGCAATGAGGGTGTTTTAAGTGCAGGAACCTCTGCTCAGTTTAATGCATTCAAACCAACTGATGAAGAAATGATTTTTGGGTTATAGCACTTTTCCTATCCTCATTGTTCTTTGCACTGTTTTACCAAAAGGCGAAGGGCTTTCAAGAATTGGAACAGGATGATGGAAACAGATAAGTGTGAATGCACACTATAATCACTCCCCCTGGTGCTGACTTGATTGTTTAGCTTGGCATTACATTCTAATATGAGAATTCTGAAACAATTTATGAATGACTGCTACAGATTAATACAACACTAATGTCCAAAATATACAATGTCGAACTGTGGCTTCACTGGTTCTCTTAGAAAATGAATCCCCAGCCACATTTTCAGATTAATTGTGTATCTTGGCTGTAATGAAGAAAATTTCAAGTGAAGTAAGAGAAGTTGTGGGAAAAATAGTCTGCGGTTAGCTATGTAATTTGGTAGTAATTTCATAACCAGTAATTGTAATAAAACCACTGAACCAGACTAATGAGGAGTCTATCCAGACTGTGGTCAAAGACTGTTTTTTTTTTTTACTGTGGATAAGCATAACCTGCTGACCAAGTTTTATATATGATCATCTATATATCAAAAAGTTCTAACATACGGTATTAGATATGGATGACAGATTTGTTAAAGCTGATCTCCAAAAAGATATTCCCACATACAAACAGGAAAATGTGTGAATCTTATGTCGACAACATGATGTAGTCCTTCGAAGCAACACAGGGAAAACATTTCTGAATCTGGCTGCAAGGTAGTATGTACAATTCATCTAAATACTTCAATTCATTTGTAATTTTTCCTGCACAGCAGTTCACTGGCTGATTTTATTTGCTGCCCAAAGCGGGTCAAATGATTCAGCTCCACTTACCCCTAGATCTTCATTGGCTAAGAATGTTTCTTTACTGTTCAGCCAACTCTCACTTTGATCGACAATACTTAAAAAAGTCTATTAAAAAAATTGAGAAACGTATAAATAAATAAAAACATAGCAAATAAAAAGCATAATGGCAAACTACCAACAGGAGTAAAATTACAGGAAGTCCTCACCACAAAGGTATACTAAAAAATATATAGCAGGCTCTTAAACCTTTTTTTTCTTTGCAAAAACTTTACCAAACAACCTTAGAATACAACATGCAAAACATAAAGCAGGAGGAAATGTTGTCCTAACACAGGCACTGTAAGTATATGAGAAATAACAGAACACAGGTTTATTAAACTTTTAAAACAGAACAAGTAAATCAACATATTACCTGCAGGTCCCGTGCCTGACACAGCTTGAGGTTCTGTACTCTCCAGGATTTAATCAGCTCATCCCAAGCTTCTTCCATATTGGAAAGAGCAAGCTGTATTTCATCAGCTGCATAGTGACCAGAATTGCCCAACTTCCGCCCAGACGTCTTCACTGCATTGACTCTCTCTGTGCGTGCTTCTATCTCAGCCTGGTGGAAGAAACCATTATGTGGAAGTACATCTAGTCTATTAAAATTCTTTTAGACATCCAGAGCTGGATTTACAATTAGGCACAGGGTGCAGCAGCCCTATGCATTCCTATGGAAGTGCTGTACTTCGCTGGACCACTGAAGGCCACCATGAGTATGGCTCTCTCCAATAGTAATGCTTGTTGTGCACATGCATGAAGAAGACCACCCAGCAAGGACATTTATGGCCAAAAGGTTATATGCTGCTGTCCAGGGCTGCACAAGTAATATCACTGGAACAGGGAGGAAGGTAAGTATTGAACCACGTGGGCTGCACTCAGGGTAGTTGGGGCATTAAAGTACAACTACACAAAGATACCGTTGTTCTTTAAAGTAAATCTGTACTCCATTTTACAACTTCAAAAATCAAAAGTCCTGCCTAAAGGTAGACACTGCAAGTTGTCCACTGTTACCTTTATTATACAGAAAGGAGTCTTCTGTTCTTCTCTCTGATTTAGTATCAGTTTGTTACTGGGGGCCTCACTCTAAATGATTTCATAGCTAAGTGCTACCAGCTGCCATTCCACTGTCCATTGATTTTGCCTCAAGGGCCAATAAGGGCACTCTCTTCAGAAGGGGGCTGTTGCTGATGGAGCTTATCCACAAAGTCAGGGAAAGCTGGCTGGTAGCAAGACATAGAACTATGAATAAAGCTGGCCATACACCTATAGATTGTCTGCAGATTTTCTATGGTCAGATGGAAAAGTGCAACAGATTCCTCCTTCTGTGCTAAACTTTGTGGATGGAGGAATCTCCCACTGGTCCAAGCTTCAATATCTTGCTAGTCGGCCCCACTGGCTCTCAAAATACCTGAACAATGCCTGCATCCAATCAGATTGTTCAGATATTTTGACAGCCAGCTGGGCCAACTAGCAAGATACTGAAGCTTGGCCCAGTGGGAGATTCCTCCATCCACACAGTTAAGCGTAGATGGAGGAATCTGTTGCACTTTTACCATCTGACCATAGAAAATCTGCAGATCATCTATAGGTGTATGGCCAGCTTAAGACAGAGGAACAGAAGGGTTCTTTCTGGCTAAGAGTAATATCAAGCATCTTGCGTTGTTTTCTTTTAGGCTGGACTTTTAAAAGTTTAAAATACTGTATATAGTATGTTTCCTTGATGTCAGCCCAGACTGTTATGCAATTCCATCCCACGAACCAAGACTGGACTCATTCTGTAAGATATGTCTGTGCTTTTCTATACCAAACAGTGAGTTACATGCTACTGTAGGGTTCACAATATGAAACCTAAGTTCAGTTATGTGTCCAGTCAACCCTCAGCATGGTACACTGTGAGCCCCCAACGCATTCATTTTATTTGCTAGTATAGTGCCTGTACATACAGTCCCGTGAAGGACATGCACATACAGCTGTGACAAATACAGTCTAATGACCATCTTAATGCATTATATATAACATATCTGTTACATTTCCACTGTTTATGTGCGAGTGACATGGCACATATTGGAGAAGTGACTTCGTACTGCTTGGTGACACTGCAACGCTGCAGATTGACCATCTGCACTGAGCAGCCTTCCATCATGCCTAATTCTGCACTCTCTTCACTAACCACTGCTCAAGCAGCTCCCCTTACATGCCCTCCACAGAGCATGACACCCTTCAACCGAAGAGCAGAACATCTCATGCGCTAGAGAAGGTTCCTTCTTATGGCAGAGCATTAGGAACTATTTCCTTTCATGTCTAGAACATCAAAACCCAATCCTATCAATATTGGTGAGATCAGGTAAAATCATCTCTGTGTCTGTGGGTGACCTGAGACTGTTGGAGAGCAGAAAACCTATGGTACAGAATCAAGACTGCAGATCATATTGCAAAATGATCTTAGAGCTCTTAATAGCCTCATTTACAGTAGTAGTTAAGTGTTGTAGCATGTTGGCCATCGATCGAAGCAGCACCTTTGGAATTTGATCCCCTTCATATGCTATATTCACATTTTTTCACCCAGCAAGCGTGAGAGAGAGCCCTTAGCATTAGTTAGCTAACACATAAAAAGGCCTGTGGACAGCTGAGGCTAATAATGAAGTCTGGCTCCTAGCTATGATGGGGACTTATGAATGGAGCCCTTTTCCACCCAAAGCTCTACAAATGCTTTGTGCACTAGATACCAGACAATAACTTATTAAAATCTAAGAAAACAAAAAGTTTGTTTTCTTAGATTTTAATGAGTTAACGGATAAATCCTGTAGCCCCTCACCATGTGTATGTGAGAAACCTAAGTGACACATATAAACCGTCCACAATCTTTCAAGCCAGTGCCTCATACTATGTAATGTGGTTGTTGTGGCAAGTCTGTATTGTTGGAAACAGCACTGTATAAACTAGAACTCCTTTTTAAAACTACATATTTAATTTGTCAAAGCTGGAGCTAAAAACAAAAGCAGTAAAAGAAATAAAATATCGGAGCTTAGCCCCATAGCAACCAATCACATTCTATTATTTTTCTGACGCATGTTAGTAGATTAAAGTGAATGCAATGGTATGCCACAGAAACCAATTCTATTATCCCTTTTTATGGTTCTTTTGTGCCAACCAAAATGTACAGTTGGGAACACCCCAAATAAAAACAAGACTGTTGCATTTATTTTGCAAAATGTGGAAAATCACAAATTTGAACACATTCTGGTTTGGCTGCTTGTCAGATACAGACATACCTTTCTCTCCTGGTGCTCTTCAATCCTGACTGTAACATCTCCAACATTTTTTGGCAAAGCAACCCCTTCCATCAGGGCCTGGAGCTTCTGCACCCAGTTCATTATCTCTCGGATATCAGCATTGAACCTTTGCAGATGGTAAGAGGCGTCTAATTTATCCTTCCTGCCAAGGAATGAAACGTGTTGTTCAGTAGACTGGACAGAATGGACTCGGATAATGCTCGGTGCACACTTTCTCTGCCAGGAGGGATAAGGCTATGGACAAATGCTCCATATTTCATCCATAAAGCTTCAGTTTTTTGAAACACAACCACAAAGGATTAAACATTAAAGCACAGCCCAGCTTACTGTAGGCTATAATTGATTCTGATCAAGGGCCACGCACTGTCATGTGCCTTTTCATCAACGATTTCATCTTATTTATACAGGGAAAATAAAAACTTTTACATTTTGTGCCTCCCAAAATCATTTACATCTACTAACAAGTAGCAAGAATACATAAATCACCCTAATTCCGGACATGTGAACACATCAATAATTCAGCAACAAGACTTTTACATCTCGCTGTGGGACAAAAGGGGTGATACAGGGTGGGGGGTCAGTGGGGTAATCAAAATGACAGCAGCCAGGGATGGATCTGAGGCTTGAGGTAACGAAATCACTGGATCTCTGTTGTGTTATTAACCTTTAATTTAATTGCAGCTTCGTTTAGTTAAAGTACATCTACATCAAGAACATTCAGAGCTGAAGATGTTTTGCAGAATTTACAGAGCACTCCATAGAAGCCAGCTGTTTCCATGGTGCTCCTGGGACAGAACGTATGGCAGACCGCTACATAAAAGCAGCTGTCATAAGTAATGGTTCTGTCCACGAGAACACTGTGGGAATTCAGGTCTTGTGTTACAAACCAGACAATTACAAATACTTTTAAATGGTCAAGATGGTTACATTATAAAGGCAAGAAGCAGCAAAATTGGTGGCTTTCGGGTTTCCCATAGCCGCTAATAAAAAAGGAGAGAACTTACCCTTCCCAACTTTATCCAAAACAGGGAAAATATTACAGTTATAGGAAAGTCCTTCTGAAATTTAATTTACAGAAATCTGAAATCACCATTGTACACTACTTCATATGTTTCTTGTAGTCTTTTTTTTTTAACCTTTCTCTCTGCTGTGGCTTTACAGTAGATTAACATGGCTAAACTAAAGATCCTCATTCATATGTAAGAACTAAATGCCCAAAGCAATACAAAATTGCCTAGGCATCACCCCCAAATTTAACACAGAATCAAACACGGTACAACACTTCAGTGTAAAACTCATTTACATTATGTGCAAAATCGACAAAAATCCTGGAATTTTTTTTTTTCCGTCTCTGATGATCTATTTAAGGGTTAGTTTACCCATATCTGATATTTAATTTCGAGTGGATAGTCCCATAGGCAGACTGAATCACTGGTTTCTAATATCTTTTGTGATCTTCCAGCAGTCAGATCAAATTTACTGGCATCTACACAAAAATGATATATCGGTTTTGGTTGGACTGTCCCTTAAAGGAGGAGGTGTTGTTTATAGATACATTAGAGCTTTAGCTGCTGGATGCTCTCCATTGGAATGACATTGTTACTGATCTATGATCTGCCCTCAACTATCCAACACACCAGAATATGTCTGTCTGTTACTTTATAAATAGCGTTGGTTAGGCTGCCTTTCCAATACCTCTGGTTAGCCTGGAGTTGGAGCTTTTGCCAGCTGTCGGTCATCTCCTTTTCTTTTGAGGTAAGGCGTTCACTCATTGATGAATTTCTACGGGACAGACGCTTGGCTTCTTGATGCAAAGCCTGCAAGAGAATATTTATGTAGAAAAACAATTTTGGTTCCTGAAGGTTCTTGGCAAGTGACGGAATTTTCCGAGAATAATGTGGATCAGATTCCAACAAAAGTAGGAAACAATTTGTAAACGGATCCTCAAACTTTGGCTAAATATGTTGGACTTTTAACTCCTTAGTTCAAAGTATTTGCATATAATAAACTGGAGTTTTCTATATCCAAGTTGTGAGGAGACACTTTGGGTCTATTAATCAATGTTTTCACCCAAGATTCACACTTTTTTTTACATAATATTCCCTTAGAAAAATGTTTGAATCTTGGTATAAGTCATGTAACGCTTGGGTGAAAACACTGATAAACAGACCA